CTCAAAAAAACTACTGAAAGGCCTGGTAGTGGTTCCACTCGCCTTTAATCCCAGCAAGTGGGAGGACAGAGGTAGGTGGATCTCTATAAATTCAAGGTCAGCCTGGTCTACAAGGAGAGATAGAGTAACCCTGTCTAGGAAACAAAACAAAAACAATAGTAAGAAAATTTCTTTAGACAAGGTCTTTCTGTGTACCAAGCTAGCCTAGAGGTAGACATGAAGCCCAGACCAATTCCTGGACTCACAATCCTCCTGCCCAAGCCTCCCAATTCTTGTGTATGTATGCCATCATGTAAGAATCAAATTTATTCTCTCTCTCTCTCTCTCTCTCTCTCTCTCTGTTTTGTTTTATTTTCCGAGACAGGGTTTCTCTACGTAACAGTCCTGGCTGTTCTGGAACTAGCTCTGTAGATCAGGCTGGCCTCGAACTCACAGAGATCCGCCTGCCTCTGCCTCCCAAGAGCTTATTTTCCATCCAGTCCTTATTTTCTCTTCTGATAAAGCAAACTCTACTTTGGTGCAGTGGCTCACACCTTTAATCTCAGTACTCCATAGGCAAAGGCAGGAAGTTCTCCTTGACTTCAAAACAAGCCTGGTCTACAAAATAAGACCCTGTCTCAAACAATAACAACAAAACAACAACAAAGCAATGCTCCAGAATGGCACTCAAGGTTATCCTTGCCTGTATAGTCTGGGATACATAATACCCTGTCTCCAAAAACCAAAAAAAACCCTCAAAAAAGAAAGAAGTCAACTTTGGGCTGGGGATATGGCTCAGTGATAGAGCACTTATCTAGTATACAGGAGGCCCTAGCTTCAATCCCTAGTAACACACACACACACACAAACAGAGGGGGAAGTCAGTCATACTTAACAGAGAACACACAGCCCAGTGCATACTGCTCTCCAGACCTTTCTTAATGCAACCTTAAACTAGCGCTAGAAATCTGAGCTCCCTCCTCCACGATCCCCTCCACTGTCCATTTTGAACTTGCCTTCTACTAAGCCAGAGGTTCTCAAACAGGGGCAGTTTTTCTTCTTTTGGTGTGTATATGTGGTATGCATGTGAGTATGTGTGCATGCTTTTGCATGTGTGTGTGTATATATAAAGGCTCAAGAAGGTTGCTCTTCCACCTTATTAATCCAGGCAGGGTCTCTCACTCAAACCCAGAGCTCACTGACTAGATTGGTCTCCGGTTGCCAGCTTTCTCTGGGGATCCCGTCTCTGCTTTCTGAGACTGGAATTACAGATGGGCCTCCATGCCCACCTGGCATTTACATGGGTTCTGGGCATCCGAACTCCAGTCCTTACACTTACATGATAAGGATTTAACAGCTGAGTCACCTCCCCGGCCCCATCCAGGGGGAATTTTGCCACCTAAGAGACAGCTGACAATACCTGGAGACATGAAAGCTTGGTATATGTGGGAGGATATTATTAGCATGTCATGAGTAGAGGTGAAGGCTGCTACTGAGCATGCTCACAGGCATGGGACAAGCCCCCACACTAAATAAACCTTGTCCAGAATGTCAACAGTGCTGAGGCTGGAAACCTACACTAGGTTTCTAAGGTCCGCTGTAATCATAACACTTGGGAGGCAGAGGCAGAAAGATGATGAGTTCAAGCCCAGCCTGTGCTGTAGAGCAAGACCCTGTCCACAATGCCCTCCCCTCCCCCAAAGTTTTTTACGTGAAAGAAAAGACACCTCTGTGGCCTAGCCATAAAACCTCTGAAGGCTGGGGCCATGGCTCAGTTGGTGTAGTGCTTGCTCAGCAACCAAGAAGTCCTGGTTTCAGTCTCTAGCTGCATAGGTGGAGTGGTGGGGCACACACACCTTTAATGACAGCATTCAAGAGGAAGAGACGGATCAGAAATTCAAGGTCATCCTTGCCTATATACCAAGTTCTAGGCTAGCCTGGGCTATAAAGTGATATCCTGTCTCAAACAATCAAAAGGTTAGCTTGGAGTTAGTAAAAGGTACATTTCCCAGACACCAAGCCTTTGCACTTCCATGCCTTTGTCTGAGAAGGGCCCGCCCTTCTCAGGTCAATTGAGATGTCACTTCCCAACTTGGTTACGACCTCTCTTCTCTGTTTTTAAGATTTGTTGAAAAACAGGAAACACGTTGGGAGTGATGGCCCACACCTAAAATCTTAGCACTTGGGTGGTAGAGACAAGAGAATCAACAGTACAAAATCCTCTTCTCTGCTAGATGGTGATTTCAAGGCCAGCTTGGGCTACTGTCTCAAAATTTAAAATGAAGAAAAGGAGGAAGAGGAAGAGGAAATTTCCACACAATACCTGAATGTCTCCTCTCCCCTCAAAAACTACCTTTTTCCTTAAAACTGTTTTTTGCTTGTTAGTTTGTTTTCTGGTGGTGGTTAGTGTTGTGTACTTGACAGAACCGGGACTCCTAGGAGCAAGCCTCTCGGGACCATCTTGGCACACCCATAAGGGATCTGGATATTTTGATCAGGTTAATTAACATGGGAAGACTTGTTTAACTGTGTTCAGACACTGCCTGTGCAGGGATCCCGGACTGTCCAAGATGGAGGAAATGAGCGGAGCAGTAGCACACGTCCATCCACACGCATCCGTCCCCCTCGGTTTCCCCAGCTCCTTCGAGTCCTTGCTGCCTTGACTTTTCACCACGATGGACTGTACTTTGAACAGCAAGCTACAACAAACCCTTTCTCCTGTAAGTTGCTTTTTAAATTTTCTTTATTACATTTACTTGCTCATGTGTGTGCTCACTTGTACCATGCATGGTGTTCAAGCCTCTCCTTCTGTCACGTGAGTCTAAGCCATCATGGTGCCCATGCAGTGATGGCTTGCAGGCCTGCTAAATTGCTTAAGTCAGAGACTTTGATCATAACCACAGGGACAGAAACCAAGACACCGCGTGTCTACATTCTAGTGCCAAAATGGGTCCAGGAGGCACGGGCGTCCTGCAGACATCAGCAGAACGAGCACTACCTCACTCCCAAGCAGGAAGTCAGCCTCAAGTGATGCCAAGCTTGCAGCAGATCTTCGGGCCCAAACGTCTTGCAGGTCACTGTGGCAGAAAGTTTTCTCTAGAGTGGGTTGTGCTGGGAAAGCAGTTCCTTTCCCATGGCTGACCATGGCTGTGTCAGCCGCGGCCCAGAGAGCGGGTCTCCACATGCAGGAAGGCAAGGCTGACCTGCATTATGGGCAGGACAGGGCAGGGCAGGGCAGCTGGCTTCAGAGCAAGTTCCTCCACAGGAAGACAAGCAGAACAAAGGGGCCGGCAATACAACAAGAGAAAAGGCAACATGGCTCTCCCTAGGCTGGCTTACCTCTGGGGACCCTGCCTTTCTCACTCCAGGCAACTTAACTGCTCCTGGTTTTAAAAACAAAGGCCAGGACTGTTCCTGTTGGCCAGCTCGAGGTCAGCCAGCACCACAGCCAGGGCTCCTGTTTCCCCAGCACTCGTCCTCTTTCCTCAAAGGTAGATTCCTAAGAACTAAATTGATCTGTTGCCACATGGCATGTTTTGTTTTGTTTTGCTTTGGACAGGGCTTTGCTGTGTAGCCCTGTTGACCTTAAAACTGCCTGTCTCTGCTGCCTCTTGTCTCCGCCTCTATAGAATTGGAATTACAAGTTATGAGGGCCCCAGTAACAAGTAGGATATTATAAAGAGCCAAACTTTACTTGGGAGGCAGAGATAGGAGGATTCCTACAAGTTTGAGGCTAGCTAGGGTTATGTAGTGAGCACACCCAAGCATGGGTGGGGGCACCAAGTATTTTTAGGGCATTCAAAACCATCGCAGAAACTTCCTTCCATGCCAAAAAGCAAAAATCACAAACTCCCAAGTTAAATGGAACCATCTAGAAAAGAATAAAAACCAGCCTCCTGGGACAGCCCCAAGTAGCAGGCTCACTGTCCTAACAAGAGGGCAAAGAGACTCCCAGAATTCAGTCTCAAGAAGCAAAGTTTCCTCTGCCAAAGAAGAAGAACAGTCACAGCTTGGTGAATTTTTATCTCAACCTTCAAAGCCGAGCTCCAAGAAGACAGGGGCTCAGATTTCTCACGGCCGCAGTAGAATCTTGCGTCAAAGGAAGCCTGTGGTGTACCTCTCTGGAGCGCAGGCAGAGCAAGCTGAAACAAGCATTTGTCTGAGACTCTGACTCCAGGCCGACACTTGGCCACCTGAGCGTGGAGCTCTGGGACAGAGCAGCCTAGAAACTGCCTCTTCGCCAGCATTTCTACCATCTGCTTGCTCCTCTGTGCAGCTAGCAAGTCTCAACCACTGTCCAGCAAATTAGTAGAGATGGCTGAGGACAGTCCTGGGCCCAGCTGCAAAACCGCAGTGGAACTTCCTGTGGATGGGGGATGGGAGGACTCTGCTGCCATGGTCACAAGGCTCTCAGCAGTCTTCTTCAAGGCTCTCGGGTGGAACCTGGACCTGGGAAGCCAGGATTAGGATGACTTCTGGCTCTTCAGCCACCTTGTCATTTGTCCAAGACCTTATTTGACCATCTGGACTGCTCTTATTTCTCCAGTTTCCAGCCTAGAACTGGGGCAGCGGTGGGGTGGGAGGTGGGGGTGTGTGTGCATTTCAGATTCCTAAGCACAGAGTAAAGTTAAGATCAACAAGAGTGGACCACAAAGGCTGCTAAGTCACCCTGATCTCTTGGGTCTGCATCCCAAGCCTAAGAGGTTTATTCATAAATCGACAAAGTCTTTTTCTGTCTGGCTGCTTGCTGGATCGATAGATGCAGCTGAGGAAATGTGCTAATAATGGCTTACCCAAATGAGAGCTGGAGAATCTAAAAAACGGAAAGAATGAAGAATGCTGACCTTTCTGATGGTTTGTAGCCAGGGTCTCAAAAGCCCAGGCTGGCCTTAAACTCTTGAACCTCCTGCTCTAGGTCCCAATGCCAAGATTTCAGGTTGGGTTTTGTTGTTGCTGTTGTTTGTTTTATTTTTCAAGGTAGGGTTTCTCTGTGTATCCCCAGCTGTCCTGGAACTGCTCTGTAGACCAGTGCTGGGATTAAAGGTGTGTGACACCCCCACGTCCCCAGAATTTCGAGTTGTGTCACCATGCCTTGCTTAAGAATCCTGGACTTGAGGAGTCTCCGTTCAGGGAACCGGTGTTGGACGCCAAATCCGAGGTCACCTGCCAGGTGAGTGGACGCCCCATGCTGTCGCGCTGCGGCGTGCGGTCCCCGCCCCTCTTCGTGGGTCTTTCCCCGGGCTCCGTTTTCCCATTGGACTGGACAGTGTGATTTAGGCTGCTCTGCGCAGAGAGTGCAGTGCAAGCCTTGTTCCAACTTACTTAGTCAGCCTTTATTCCAAGCTTGTAGATTTTCAGTGGAAACTGGGCATGGCTGTGAGCTCTGACCGCTGCAGATCCCTCAAGTACCCGTATGTGGCAGTGAAGCTCAAAGTGGCAGATCCTTCTGGCCAAGTAAACACCAAGTCCATCGAAATGACAATCCCACAGTTTCAGAATTTCTACAGACAATTCAAAGAAATTGCCGCTGTCATTGAAACTGTGTGAGGACTGATTCCGAAGTAATGGACTCTACCTTCCAGAAAAGAACTGCATATGGATGAAAGATATTTATGCAATGAAAAGTGCACTTCTGGGGCTCAATAGGTGGCTCAGAGGTTAAGAGCAGTGGTTGCTCTTCCAGAGGACTCAAGTTCAATTCCTGGTAACCACATGATAACTCACAACTGCCTGTAACATCAGGACCAGGGAATCCTACAAACTCCCACAGACGTCTATGCAGGCAAAGACAAATGGGTAGAAAACTAAAAATTAAAAGAATTTCACTTCCCAATTTTTTTCCCAGTTTTAAAAAAAATTGATAAACTCAAATTTTTCAGTGGTCACCAATGCTCTTTGCCTTTTCAATGAGCTAAAAGTGTCTGTGTCGAATACTAATATATGTATGTGTAATGATATCTCAACAGATGAATAAATGATACTCTTAAATGCAGCACTCTTAAATGTATATCAGAAAATTTTTAAATCTTATTGATACAGATCTAACTTTATGAATAAAATCTTGTATATGAAGTTTAAAAAAAAAAAAGAATCCTGGACTTGCTAGCAAACTTGAATCCATTTCTCCCTTCCACTATATGCTAACAGTATATAAATACACATGAGTATCCAAGGAAGCCAAAAGAGGGCATTGTATCATCTAGAGCTTGGGGTTCAGATAGTTGTGAGCAGCAGAATATGGGTGCTGGGAACTCTCTTAAGTCTGAGCCAACTGTCCATGCTAACCTTGAACTTGTTCTTCCCGAACCCAGGGTTCTTATACTAGGCAAGCACTCAATTAACCCAGCCTTGCTCCCATCTCCTTTTTCCAGCTATTTTTAGGGAACAATGTTGGCCAGTTCTGAGGTAACATGATGAAAAGGAAATAAATGAGAAAAATGTTCTGCCCACTTACATCTATGTTGTTGGTTGTTTTTGCTCTTCACTCTTCAGGCTTTTTTGGGGGGCCCACCACCCAGCTCCCAAATAAATACACAGACTTCTTATTTATTAATGCCCAGCCTTAACTTGGCTTGTTTCTTTCCAGCTTTTCTAACTTAAATTGTCCCCAACTACCTTTCGCCTTCGGGCTCTTTCCTTTTCTTACTTCTGTATCTCTTACTTTCATTCTGACTCCATGTCTGGATGGGTGGCTGGCCCATAGTCCTCCTCTCCTCGTTCTCTTGCTCCTCACCTCAGTTCTCCTTGTATTTACACTACCTACCTGCTAGCCCCGCCTATCCTTGCTCCTGCCTCGCTATTGGCCGTTCAGCTCTTTATTAGGCCATCAGGTGTTTTAGACAGGCAAAGAATCACAGCGTCACAGTTACACAAGTGCAGCGTAAACGAGTCACACCCCTTAAAATAATACTCCCCAACACATTTACTGGCTATTCTTTATTGTTTTAATCACTCTCCAGCTCTTCTGTGACAGGAACAGCAAGACTTTAAAATAGATAAAGGCTGTCTATTTTAACATAGAGGCTGTCATGTTTCAGAGGTCAAAGTGCTTGCCACCAAGCCTGACTAACTGAATTTGATTCCTTAGGCCCACATGGTGGAAGGAGAGAACTAACTCCCACAAGTTGTCCTCTGATCTCCACACAAGGACTGTGGTACCCCCATGTGCATGCGCGCGCGCACACACACACACACCAAGTTTTAGAAAGTATAGCCTTGGAACTGGAGTGACAGATGGTTGTTAGCAACCATGTAGGTTCTAAGAATTTAACCTGGAAAAGATGACCTTGGAGACCAGACATTGGATACCCCTTTAGCTTCACAGACCACTCCTAAACTAGTAGTGCCCACAGGCTGGTGAGACTCAGTGGGTGAGAGCACTTGCTGCCAGGCCTGATGAAGGGAGTTCAGTTCCTGGAACTTATACGGCAGAAGGAGAGCACAGCACAGGCTCCCAAAAGTTGTCCTGTGACCCCCACCAACTCCTATAACAAATAATAAACATAATCTAAAGGAACTACCAGCACCGCCAAGCTACAGAGCATTCTGCCTTTCCGTCTCATTCTAGTATATCACAGCTTGGGGAGGGATGAGCTACTCTGCTGAGTAAGCAAAAGCCCAGATAATAAGAACTGGGCTGGGTCCCGAGAGTATCTTAGCTACAGGGACTAGAATTACTTTAAGCTTTAGAAGATGGGTCAGAGAACCTTGAGCAGCTTAGTAACCAGGTGCTAGGAACTGGTCCGCTCAGTCATTAAGAACCTGCACTGCTCCTGGAGAGGACCTGAGTTCAGTGCCCAGTATTCATGTCAGGTAACCAAGTGTATCTCCATCCCCAGCAGATCTGGTGCCTCTGGCCTCTGAGGGATAGCCAGTGTGTGCTCATGTGTGTGTTCCCAGTGATGTTAGGAGGTGATTTTTTTGTTTTGGTTTTTGTTTTTTTTTTTTCAAGACAGGATTTCTTTGTAGCTTTGGAGCCTGTCCTGGAACTAGCTCTTGTAGACCAGACTGGCCTCGAATTCACAGAAATCCACCTGCCTCTGTCTCCCAAGTGCTGGGATTAAAGGCGTGCACCACCACCTGGCTTGGTGATGGGATCCTTAGGAGGTAGAACCTAACCACATGGTGTGCCACGTCCTGTAATCCCAGCACTCAGAAGAAAAGAGGGCAGGAGGATCAAAAATTCCAGGTCAGTCTCCACTTCATAACAAGTTAAGGACAGCCTGGGCTACAAGAGGCTGTCTTTAAAAAAAATAGCATAATGGGTAGGGCCTGGCAGACTATTAGGTCTTGTGGGGAGTTGCCCTTAGGAAGGACTAATATTACGTTCCTGGAAATCGTTTTAACTGTTTTGAGACAGGGTCTCTAGCTCAAGCTAGCTTCAGACTCTCTTTGCAGAAGGTGATCTAGAATTTCTGATCTCTACCCTTCCCCCAAGCGCTAGGATTACAACCATGGGTGACCACATCCACTTTATGAAAGGCTGGGGTTCAAAACTTCCTTTCAGTGCTGGATAACTGCCCTACCAACTTAGCCTGAACTAGTTCTTTTTTCTTTTTGGGTTTTCAAGACAGGGTTTTTCTGTGTAGCTTTGGAGCCTGCCCTGGAACTCACTCTGTAGATCAGTCTGACCTCCAACTCACAGAGATCTGCCTGCCTCTGCCTCCTGAGTGCTGGGATTAAAGGCGTGCACCACCATCGCCTGGCTTTGAGCTAGTTCTTTAGAATGAGGTCATAGGGCTGGAGAGATGGCTCAGTGGTTAAGAGCATTGCCTGTTCTTCCAAAGGTTCTGAGTTCAATTCCAGCAACCACATGGTGGCTCACAACCATCTGTAATGAGGTCTGGTGCCCTTTTCTGGCCTGCAGACATACACGCAGACAGAATATTGTATACATAATAAATAAATATTTTAAAAAATAGAATGAGGTCATAAAATTGCAAATTGATGGGGCTGGAGAAATGGCTCAGCAGTTAAGAGCACTGGCTGTTCTTCCAGAAGACCCAGGTTCAAATCCCAGCACCCACATGGCAGCTCACTACTGTCTGTAACTCCAGTTCCAGGGGATCTGATACCTTCATACCAATGCAAATAAAATAAAGTTAAATAAATTATTTAAAAAATTGCAAACTGAGGACTGGAGAGATGGCTCAGAGGTTAAGAGCACAGGCTGCCTGTGCTCTCCCAGAGGTCCTAAATTTAATTCCCAGTACCCACATGGTGGCTCACAACCATCTGTAATGGGATCTGGTGCCCTCTTCTGTCATGCAGGCATACATGCAGGCAGAATACTGTATATAAAATAAATAAATCTTTTTTTAAAAATGCAAATTGATGCCTTTCTGTTCTCTGTTGTCCTGTCTCCTCATATGATCTCCCCACAGCACACACGCTCTCCTCACTGTAATGTCACCCAGAGCTCAGCCAATAGCAGTACTATGCTCTTACACCTCCAAACCTGTGCAGCAAATGAACCTCGTTCTTTATAAAATGTCTAAGATCTGATATTTTTATATAGTCACAAGATAAAACAGAACAAGAGCTTTAGTTTTTTTTTTTTTAAAAAAAGGGGAACTATTAAGTCAAGGAAAGGCTGAATGATTGATGGGGAAAGATTCTTGGGTACAATCTAAGTGGCCATCAACCAGAAAATGAGTAAGGTACTGTCAACTATTCAGTGGAATGCTTTGCAGCCTTACAACAAATGGAGTAAAGCCATGAGTGCTAAGTCACCTATAACATCACGACGTGAACAAGGTACAGATCAACAGTTGTATGAAACTGTCTGGTCCACAGGAAATTCCAATTCCCCAAACTCCAAAGGCAGTTCAAATATCCAGCAATGCACTCAGGTCGAACTATAGGACTGTTGGTGGTTAGACAAAAGCCAGCATTCCTCAGGAACTTGTGAAACTGGTTCCCACCCACTAAAGAGTCATCCTGGCCCTTCTCACCAGCTCTTATCCTAAACTCCCTCCAGCTCATGGCTTCCCATCCCCAGCTACTCCTTAATTCTTATAACCCTGCTATTCTCCATATGCTCCTTCCACTCTCTCTCTCTCTCCTCTCCGCTCCTGCTTCTCTGCTTTATTTCCTAGATTGCCGTGGTCATGTCCAGTCTGTAGGCTGTATTCAGTCTACCTTCTCTCTGCTCTGGACTCTTCCAGGGACCTCTGGCTGTTCTTTAATATCTACATTAAAAAAAAAAAAAACCTTCCCCTTCCCCATACCATGGAGTGGTCATATCCATATCAGTTTATACAGAAACCATCAGAGGAAATTAAAAACACACTACCACCACATGTATAACACATCCACAAACTGTACTTGGAAGTTATTAAATTAAGCTGTACTTCTGAACACAGGATCAAGGAGGGAAGTATTTTCACTGTGCATTTTTGTGGTTTATTATAATTTAAAACGTGTTGCTTTTACAAGAAGTCAAGAAGGAGATACTTTTCAGGTTTTCCCCTCCTGCCAAAACCTTTCACTCAAGATCCCAAACCCATTTAGGAAAGCTCCCTTTCACTAATTCTAATTACCCAAGATAGCCACAACACTGGCGTCTAGAAATAATCTCTAAATTATCAGGAGGCCAGTTTTAAAGGTTATTTCTGAGAGGACCAGATCCACAACTGAAACGCCATCAGTTTCAGGAAACCACCTGCTCAGTGCAAAGATCTCCCGACAGGTCAAAATTCCATAGCACGCTTTTTTTTTTTTTTTTCCTGTTCCACCCTCCTTGCCACCATCCTCAGCCTCAGCTCTTAATACAACTGCAAGCCCCGCTGTCTGCATTCCCAGTAGCTGGGTTTTAGGAATCAACCAGCAGCCCTTCACCCAATCCTCTCGCTAACCCAGAGTTATAATTATTTTGGTGTTTTGTGTTTAGACAGGCTCCTGCTAAATAGCTATGGCAGGCTTGGAACTCGCTATGTAGCTCAGGCTTGCCTCTAACTTGCAGTAATC